TCCCACCTACCTGTAAGGTCCAAAACGGCTTGTTCTGGTTCGAGCGTAGCCTAAACTCAATCGATTATTCTACGGTCATTCTGTGTAGGGTCGACGAGACCGTTGGGCAATGCATTGCGAACAGCGAACCTGAAGTCAGAACGGTATTGATCGGTACTATTTATTTACATTAAACGAGCCAAAGAATAAAGTAACACAACAAAACGACTCAGTCGCCATACGGTCAAAACAGATTCAAACAAATGAATAAATACCTAATATAAAAGGAAAGAGGAACAGAAATACCTGTTAGGTCAAGCAAGGGATTACGTTCACCAAACGTGAACAGCCAAGATGAATCCAAACAATTCGGCAATCATCTGTTTGCCACACACAGAGAAGTTCTGCTCCCCAAACGTGAACAGCCAGTGTTCAAAGTCAACGGTGCACTCGCAAACAACAACGAATAAACCCACAAGGCCAATGACGCGAGCAAATAGGGACCGGAGCAGTGATACAAGAAAGGCACGTATGTGTAGAGGGCAGTCACTGGTCCAAGGATAATGATGCCGCTGGGATCGATAGGTAGACAAACAAGGTCGAGGGACATGAGTGAGTCACTCCGACAGCCTCACTATGGTTACGGGTGGATGTCTCAGTTTTTTGCTGGTCACTCCTCCCTTGTATCTCACTACTTGCTCCCATAAGACCAANAAGACCAAGCGCCTAAAATAATTTCTGCTCAGAAAGCCCTACTCACTGCCTTCACGTGGTGGTGTTTTCACACCACGGGACTAAAAACAGGTCGGCAAACATTGGTAGTACACTTAAAGGAGTTGACTAAAGACCCTGATTTCACACCTAACAAGAAGAGGCGTACGAGCCACGCACATACCTTTCCGGTCCAGTTGGGTATAGAGGTGTTTTGGGTGCCTTGAACATTTGACTCCGTCGAAAGGGCGTATGATCCGATGAACACTGGACACTGGCTCCCAAAGGATTGCGATTTTCACACATTGCCTTGTGGCCTTGCGGGCCAGGTTTTGCCTAGCGGACGGCTCCCTAAGAAAATTCACCTGGGTAACCTACAGTAATTTAATGATTATTGTCCCGTGATTTGTTTGACACAGTTTGAACTCAGAGGTGTGTGCTGATACACATGTAATATGATCAGACAATCATAGACTAACACGAGGGATCACGCGGTGATCAAAATCGAAGTAGAAATGAGGTAAAAGAACGTGTGCCAATGGGGTCGGAAAAAGACGTGTATGGCAAATGCGAATCAATGGAGGAAGAAACGAAGGATAACTAGAAAGGGGCGGGGGGAACAAACGTAGTAGAATCGGGAAAGGATTTTTATCACCCAATGGTTTGTACAATAACCTTTTTCTATAATTTTTGTTACCCTTCACCCACGACCATTATCTACCATAGTTCAACTTTGTTTTCAAAAAGCTGTCTGAAACTCGGTCCAGCAACTTTTATTTTATCATCGCATCGCCGTAGATGTAAATCGGCGAACACGGTGCCCATCGCAAAATATGAGACGATAAAAATGATCCAAAAATTGCGTTTTTTATTAATTCATGATGGTTTGATTTTCGTAATCCTAAATATTCCATTCGAATTTATTACTATTTTGCGACGAAAAAGGGAAAAGTTCATTCTGATCGGTTATATATATATGTATAATCTTTTGACAAAGAGTCCTAGTCTGGATCGAAACGTCACAATAAATACTATCACTCAGTGCTCGCCTTCTTTTCAGAATATATATATATATATTTGTATCCTAACTGACCAGAATGCAACTAGCGTCTGCTTCTTAGCTTCTGTTAACCGACTTCACATTATTGCAGTCCAGAAATACTACGTTCTTTCGATCCAACCCATGTTCGTTCCAGCCTTCTCGTGATCTACTAAGAGCTTATCTTCGTCCCTCAAAGCTTTATTGACATCCGGTTCGTCATTTATTCATTCTATCCTTTCGCTAATTAATTTGACTGAATACACATCGACCGAAAAGGGAAAACTTATTATGTTGTGATTTTTTCACTCCATGTTTCACTTAGTCACTATCTGATTCACAAAATTTACACACGGTTCATTTATGGCATAAATCGCGACTCCAACCGAACTTTTTCATGGGCCGCTTTTTTGTCTGTGTCGCTCTCGCCTCTGTGCGTTCTAGTGAGTATTCGCCAGGTTTGCTGATCCGTGGATGCACAATGAACTTCCTCGATTATAACTTAATCCGCAGTCATCATAGCGTTTTGGTTTCAGGTTTGAACGTTTGGGGCTGCCGTGTTCGTCGGTTATTTACGATCTCGCTCAGCTCGTTAATCAGGTCTGCGAGACGGCTTATCAGTGTTACCAAATACTGGGCATTTATAGTTTTACCCAAGCAAAAGTTATTTCACGATATCGTTTCAGAATCTTAGACGCGCCGCTTACTGTGTTCTACAACGATCGTCTCCTCCAATTGCTGAATATGTTTATAAGTACGCAGGAGTGTCAAGACTTTGTTAGTACCCTAGGCCTCGTTAGGAATTAGGACTTAGGCAGGTAGTATTACCGGGGGAGGGGGTGGGGGTTGGAGGAGTTAAATTACGTGTATGATCAATTTCGTTGCCTAGGGTGCAAAGAAAACCTGACCTCATTCATTAGTGGTGCGAGTCCACTGATCCAACTGAGAATCACACCGTGGACTTCATTGGCAGGACGCAAGTATACTGCACACTTGAACATCGATCAGATGATCAAACTGTTCCATTATGATTGCACACCGCCCTTCTTTGCTAGTTTATAGTGTTTAGCTGACTTCACTCATCTTATCATTCGCCTAGGTTTTATGCCTGAGTGAAAAACATTCTGAATCAATTTCTTACTAGAAGGTAAGGAAGGATTCATTTTTGTTGGTTGCAATCGCTAAGAAACGGAATACGATTTGATTCCAGTAACTTGATATCATAACTGTCTGACATTGAAAATCCTCAACCCCTAACAAAAAACTTGAGAAACATTTCGAACGAGCACGAAGTCAGACTACTAAATTCATCCCATGTTTCGCATTCGCTTAGAGAATATTTGTTCGCGATGTTTGATAGCTCATTCTCTCCGACAGTTCAGAGCGATTATTTTAACCCCGATTCATTGTGTTGATTAGTGACAAAGCTTTTCACAATTGTGCTAGTCCTTCCTTCACGCCTCGGTAGAACAAACCACAGTATCATTTATTTTTATAAAAGGCTTTTTAGATGAAGTGCATAAGATGGCTAGTTTTTATTGAAAGCTGAATAATTAGACCTCTCGTCTTATGTTAATTCACTCTTCATGACACTAACCACGTGCCAAACAGGGTACGCGTATATCTTCGTCTATTTTTTGTGATTTTTGTACAGTTAAGCTTATTTGATCGATATTGACACCCTCACACCACTCATATTGTATGCATTTTCAAGTTTTAAAAAATCGATCTCAATAAGAGTTTGCTTAATAGATTCAGTTGTTAGATAATGGCCATGATACTGTTTGTGCGTCCAATTGAGGGTAAAGATCCAAATTGTTGTCAGAACTGAAGTTATTGTAGATTTCGGAGATCACGAATACTTGTCCCGGATAAAACTAAGTGTCTGCTCTTTAAATGAAACAGTCAACCACTTAAATGGGCAGCCGACAGATAGCAACCAAACCGGCACACTATAGTGCATGGTTAATGGTTGTGCAAACTGAACTGAAACTGAATGCTAAAGAGCAAATTAGTTTGCATCTAATTATTTCACCGGTATACAAATTTAGATATACATCAAAAAAGGGCACAGTTGTCTTCATCACCATCTTCCCCATTGAATCTAGTTGTATGATCTCATGTGCAACAATAAACCCTGGAATATATAGAATGACATTTGGTCTTAGTTATTGGCACAAAAACTCTGATTTACCGGCTAACCTGGTGTTTATAGTTCTCGAATTTTAAGTTGTGTGATGCGTTTCACCTCTCGGGCACGCGCTGAGTTTTAAAGAAGCTTCCGAGATGATAGTCATACAGACAATGAATGGATCCGAACATTATAAAATGATGAGCACTGGGCGAGCTGCACTGATCGTGTATTACGCTGTTGAGATTCATTAATATCGTCTGATCATGGAATGACAATAGCTGAACCCAACGCGTACTATCATCATCATCTATCATTCGTTCGTGAATACCAGCAAATTGTTTTTTTAAGTATTACGAGCAAACTAGTTTACTTCTCGCTTATTTATTGAAAATGCAAGTGTACAGACACGTTCAAAGAAGGGGAACGTAACTGGTTAAATGCCTGAGGGAAAGTTTCTGGTATTTGTCTATGGGTTTTATCCATTCCAATTCGACCTTCGTCTGTACACTTATTTTCGTGAATGATTACCATTGAGCTTTATTCTCTTAACTGTTATTTTGAAGTTCAGTTTGCTTAATTTTACTGCAACTTTATTGCTAGAGTAATTTCCGATTTGCATATATAACCACAACTCACACGCAGCACACAAACAGCCCCAACCCGTTTGCACGAACACGTGCACATGATTGTAACTGTTGTCCCCTGACGGTATCAGCCTTGAAAAAACCCCATATTTTTCGTTTTTTTACACGCACTTTGAGTCTGCTCTTTTTCTAACCTCTAATGTTACACGAATAAATGTTGTTATCAATATATTCTAAGTAAACCTTGATCTACCTCTTCCGTGCGGTGTAAACGTCTGAGGTTAGAATAGTTCGCAACTGCGATTAATATCTATGACAGGTATGTAAGGTCATAACTCGGTGAATATTGCAACAACGGGCATGTCTACGCTGCCCCAAGGAAGTGCTAGTCACCATCACGATTATATGGAATTAGTGTTGGAATTCTGTGGCAACTATATAACATCCAAATTTATTTATATTCCTCGGTAGCTTTGAACTGGCCACAACTGACATTTTAAAAGTACCATGATAACTCTTTATCTAACGGATCTGATTAAAGAATATTACCATCATTGACGCTTGTCTTTAGCGATAGTTGATTCTTCCGCAATGCAGCGTCCTGATCTCGTGGGATGGTTGATGTACCTCAATAACCTAACATGCTACACAGAATAGCTTTTCTTACACCAAAATTCTCAATGTATTCTAAAGGTGGGAAGGTGAAGTTTGGATGAAGTCCGATCCCCCAGTTCCTCAAAGTTTTCAACCCAATTTGCTATCTCAGTCCAATAACATAATGTAGGAGAATGTTTTGTGACTATTTACATTAGAACAGAGAAAATAATGATCAAAGTCTTGTTTCCTTTTCATTTACTGAGAATTCAAGCGTACAGTCAACCTTCATACAAGGGCTGTCTGGGTAAATACAGAAATGGGGGAAATGAAGAGAAGGCTGGATCTGAACGCAGAGCATACAGTTCGCTATGTTGATTACCTTTTTGATCACCCGAATCATTTGACCAAGGCCCACACCACACCCGATACGGTTATCTTCCTATCCGTCCCTGGTTGACCTGAANAACCCATGTCTATGTGTGCGAATCTAAACTTCATTACTTTATTCCTAACGCCCTCCCCGCCGAGTTCTCCACTCACGCTTGTCTATACATATCTTCTATATCCCGCCTGGTGCCGTCGTCGTGTGGTCAGATGCCGCGCAGCGTCGATCTATGCTTGCCGATTCGGCGATAGCCGGACTGAGCAG